GAAAAGTAGTGACTTGGGAAATTTTTCATGCCAGTGTTTTAGACAAAAAAAATGTTTAACAAAATTTGATGTTAGTGTTATGTTAATCATGCTTTAAACAGCGATAACGCTTTGTAGCTAGTTTATATATTTCAGCACAGCATATTGTCACCCTCAAACGAACCACCATCGTCCGAATCTGTGTTGAGATTTTTGAGCGAACATAACGATGAATCAGAGAAAGATATTGTGCAACGTTTTGGTATATTTTATTTCTGTATATAAGTTGATAAAGCTAAACTTTAAGCTATGTTGTCCTCAATAACCTGAAGATGAAAATCTTTCCTATTTACATTAAGCGTTGTTTATTTAAAAATGGTCATTAGAGGTTGAATTTAGTGAAGCCGTGATTTTGAAATCATTCACAATTCCAAAATTTGCTATATTCCGTTCAAAAAATTTTGTCATAATATCCTATTTTCATTAATCCTCATTCTCATTCTGCAACATCGATGGAATTTTATTCCTGATGAAGAATGAGACATTGGAATTGTATGATAGCTTTCGTAATTTATGCCAAAATCCAAAGCGTTAGTATCAAGAAAAAAAAATTTTTTTTACGCGTATATTTTTTATACTTGTATTTCTATGTATGTTTTACTAGATCGTTTTTTATTTTCTACAAAATATGCTTTATTTTTTATTTGTTGTGTTCGCTTTTCTGAATTATTTGTAGTAACGAATCGTTGGATGAAAATATTTAGGTCTGAAATTAATATTGTGCTGTTATTGTTTTCGCGATAATCTTTTCTTTTTTAGAAAAAGATAATGCTTCGTCGCGAAAACATATCCACAAACATTGGCAGGAATTTAGAACTTCTCCTCTAATGCCAGTTAATCCACCAGCTCCAACTATCGATATTCCGCGTTTGGATAATCTTACTAGTGGTCATTCATCAAGGTTAGCAAATTGTTATCAGTGCGGAAATATTCTATGTTCGATTTTTGTTTTCTTGTAAACAATTTCTTTATTCCTAGGGACAATACAAATAGAAGACGTCGAGAATCGTCCAAAAATCCACAAAATTCAAACTCTTTTTCTTTCTCAAAAAGTACTTCAACTACATCATATACATCAAGTAATTCATCCTTATCATCTAATGGTTCGCTATTACAAACAATTCAGAAAAGCGAACACAAACAAAAATTGTTACCTATAAGGAAGGTATATGTGCTTTTTTAAAAAGTTTTCTTCAGTGAATTAACAATAATTAACGGAAGACTAAGTGCATTATTTCAAAAAGTAATAAGCATGATGTTTTCGTTTGTAAAAAAGCACTCTTTATAACAAAATTTTTAAGAGCCGCTGTGACTTTTTTAGTCGAGTACTACTTCATCGCGCAGTGTTACTGAGCGATCATCTCAATACGTGAGAAGTAATAGCAGTGTAAATGTGAATGACGAAGTTTTGGTAGAAATTAGGAAAACAGCCGATGTTTCACTTCCTGTCGTTTTGAAAGAAAAATTCGTACCGAGTGTTCCATTGAAGGAAGCAACTATATATTCAACGTCAACAAATGTTGGTTTCATACTCTTACTTTTTTTTTCTTTTTTTTTTTTAGTAGATTTTATTACTTATGTTTGTCTCTCAGTTATTATCTTATTCTAAATGTAACATTAAAAATATAACTGTTCCATTTCGGGGAAGAGATCCTTCTAATTTGTTGATTGCTTTTTGTTGTGAAAGTCCTATGAATGTTCACTTTTGTAACTATCATTGTTCTTTCATTCCCTCACTGCTGTTGCTTCTATTTTCACGCTACCATCGATTTTCAATTAGAATTGTCGCTCTCGATGAATTGGTGCTCATGTTGTTGAACTTGTATAATTATTGAACTGTAGTGCTTAACTTCGCCGATCCACTCATTTTAAATTCTTCAGAGTTTTGGCGTTGAACTCTATCTTCAGTTCAGCTTCTTGTAATCCTTGTTTTGTTAATCGGGCGTTGCATACGTACACAACTTTTCGATCGGCATGGGAAAGACAAATATGCCTGTATATATTTTCTCCGCTGATCTTTTCAAAACCATCTGCTAGTTAAACCTAACATTCTTGTATGGTTTTTATGGTGTTAGTATCCTGTGCTATGTGCTTCACATTATTGGTAAATTAATAAAACTTATTAATTTTTCATCACTGCAAAATTTCAAGTTAAGATTTTATATGCGACCGTATTGAAGATTCAAGTACTGAAGCCTTCGAAATATAAAATGAATAATTCCTATTTTTTGTTTATATGATTTTCAGGAAAAATCAGAAATGCCAATCAGTTTACGTTCAGATGAAGATAAAGTGACAGTGCAGTACATTCCAACAAAAATTCCAACAACAGATGCAGCTGTTTCCACGGATCCTGTATTAATAGATAATCAATCAGTAGAGAAGGTTGAAGTGGGTGTCAATACCATTATAGAAATTAGTAGCAACATGGCGGATGGTAGTTCAAGTTCAAATACAACATCTGATAATAGCGCCGGACAGTTACCAAAGCGATTTTTTGACATTGTTTTACAAAGGTTAATTTGTGCTAAAGTAGAATTAGGATTTCTTAGCAATAAAAATTTCTTTTGAATGATTTTTTCTGATCTGAGCCTAATCTCTTGATCAAAAATTCTCAAGAAACATTGCTAACGAATGCAACATTATGAATAGTTTTTGTAGGCCTTCATTGAGGATTGTATCTTTACGACCAGACGGAAGTATTGTCCCTACAATTAATTCAGCTTCACCAAATTTTCCCAGTATCCGAGAATGGACACCACTGGCTAATGAAGGGAGCGCAGAAAAATCAGACGTAGCTTCAGAAGCGGAGCTTTGCAACATGGCAAGTGAATCAAACTTAATTCATTCAGGAGACAGTGGAATGGAAAAGTTAGGTAATAGACTTTTTTTCATCTTATAAATTGTTCTTTGAATTTATTTTTCAGATGATTTATATAATATTGAGGCATGTTTTTGAATCCTTGACAGAGTCAGTTATCTATTCCTATCGTTAGCTTGTTTACTGCTTATATGGTGTTAAGATTTTTCATTTCCTTCATTAAGTGATAACTGTCTAATTTTATATGGACAAAAGAGTGCTACTTCTGAGCTATTCATCTAGCATTAAGTTGCTAATTCTTTGTTGTAAAGTTTTTCATGTCACTAACCCTTTTCTTGCTTTAGATAGTGTCTCAGCATCAGCATCACGACCTGACCCTTTCGAAGAAGATTTAAATACTCTGGCGAACATTTCACCGCTTCCACATTCTTAATATATCGAGTATTTCTTGCACTGTTGTAACTTTTTTTTTAATGCAATAGCTTTTTCACTTTTATTCGTTTATTTTGGATAACGCTGAACTTGTATTAATTTTTTCTATCCAGTATTTTCCGTATTTTGCTTATGTGGCAGTTTTAACTTTTTAATTGGAAAGGCGAAGGGAGAAAGAGAATAAAGTTTGGAGCGAGGAGGAAAACATAGAAGAAGAGGAAGGAAGAAGTGATTTGAGAAATAGCACAAGAAAATTATGTTTTTCATGACATCTGCAGATTACTTTGGAACTTGTCAATCTAAAAGATGATAAACAAACTAGCATGACATGTGTTCATCTGTAAAAAAAGTGGCATTCGAGGAGGAAGGCCTCTCACAAAACTAACCCATCAAAGCGTTAATTCATTCATGCTGTTGCCCATTCTGATCAACAACTGGCTTGAGGACTTTGAGTGGCATAAGGAGTGTTACATTTCACGCGGTAGCTTCCATTTCATGTGTTTTAAACTCTCTTGATAAGTTTTTATCATGTCTTAAGTTTGTTATCCAAGACACTAATTGTATAGGGGATGAAATCTTAAGATTTAATATAAAATTCAAACTTTATGGGAATTGAGCTGAGCTCTCATTTTCCTCAGTAAAGAATTTATTCGTGCATTCATAATCGTTCTCATACAGTGTTTCTCATCAGAATAAAGTCCATGAAGTTTTAATAAACAATATGATGTGATGATGTATTTCATTGGTTACAGTATTTTGCTTCCTTTTATTGTAACTTAGTGTACGACCAACCTGATCACAAAACTTTAATTTTAGGTGGTAGTTTAAAACCCGGTTAGAAAAATATCATTTGGCTGGAGTCCTATATTTGGCTGATAATTGTTAGTGATGTTGTTTAAATAAGAAGATCCGGAAGGTATAGAAGGGAAGAGGTGAGTACTTATATAAATTATCGGGATTAAAGCTCTGATGTTTGTGCCTTTGTTTCAGTTCGAGATCAATGACTTAAATTTTAGATACATGCATTTTCCCTGTTCAGATTTAGAGAGGGAGGCTAAAAATTTTTAGCTTTGAGTCTTGCTATCCCGACTGATCTAGCTGCCAGTTAAATTTATTCTATGAAATTGGATTGAATTTGTTTTAAGAAATTGATTTTAGAAATAGAACAGAAATGAGTATATATATATATGTCTGTAATATGAGGTTATTTAATAAACTTTGCAGACAGGTTTAAACTCCTTGTCGCTTCTCAAACTCTTTACAAATAAAAACCGGTTGCTACGTTATGAACACTTGTATTTTCAGGTAATTTGCAATAATCTTTTCTTTGATTTTTTTTACAAACTTTAATGAATCGACTTGTAAAACAGTTTAAATTTCTGGAGCTGATTAGTCCACTGCAGATACAAGATTAAGCTATACATTAACAGTTTGAGATTTTCTTTATCATTCTAGCATTCTTTCGAAATTATTTGTTATTGCAAAATACTATTGGTGTAGATAAAATTACATCAATGGTAATTACATTTGTATTAATCTTAGTGATTTATCTAAATTCTTTTAAAATTGACAAATTATTTCTTTTGTTTTTTGTTTTTTTTTTTTTTTTCGTATCCAAAAAGCTGACCTAATAGGTCCTCACAAAGATTGGCAGAGTTTTTAGTTCTAAAACTTCATAATTGCAAAATGATGCTTTTTTAGTTCTTATATGAACAAAAGAGCTGCTCGAGGTGAAGCGTATGAGCCGACACGTTATGAACATGTCGCAAATATCCTTTCTCATGGAGTAAGTTAACATTTCTAAATTTTGAATTTTGACTGTAAATTTTACCCTTAATTCAGATTACACCGAAAGTTCTTGCTACGCATTTTTATTGTAGCTTAACATCAGTTCTCCAGAAAAGTGAAGCTGAGTTGCTGAAGTATTGTTTTCCTTCACCTCAGAACGTGTTTCTTGCGTAAACGCATATCGACAGTAATGCACAGGAATAACTAAAGATCGAGCTGAAAGTCCTTTCACTGTTTTTATTTCTTAGTTTTTTTATATTATTAATTTCAAATTAAGTAACCTATTGATGATTTTGTTCATTTCTACGCTATTTTCAAGGGAATTTAATTATTCAGGTAGCAATACTTCCGAGTATATATGGAACACAGTGCTTAATTGCTGCGTCACGTCGTGAGTCAGAGCGAAACGTGTCCATAATTTACTGCTTTTTTATTACGGTATATTTGTAGACATCTATTCATTCATATTAAAAATTTCCAACATTCATCTATTTCAACTAATTGATATTGGTTGCTATAATTTGATGTAATCGTGGGTTCTAAGTCCCATTTCACATTTTCATAAAAGTTATTTTTCCTAATTTTTATACGATTTCAATTTTTTAAGGTGCTTTTTACTACATCAACAGCTTATCATACATGTGAACTTTTTTCGTCCGGACAAGAAGTATGTTTTATCAAAACAGTCCAAAATCTATTTTATTTTCGAAAACAATTACTTATTTTTAATAAGTTCTTTCCTTTTTCAATTTTACTATAATTATTCAGGAAATTTCGTTATTACCTTCATATAATTGATCGTGCCGCCATCTACTTTTTTATTGCTGCTTCCTACATGCCATGGTTTACGTTGAGGCAGTATGAATCTCCAGGAAATAATTTCAAATGGCTTGTTTGGTTGTTTGCCTTTTTGGGTACCATCTATCAGTGTATTTTTCACGAAAGGTAGATTAAACTTTCACTTGTACAAAGTTGGTCATTTCATTTGTACATTCTCCGCCCACATCTTCAAAAATTTCCAATATTTAGTTTCCATTTCTGTCTTACAAATTTTTTAAATTTTATAAGGATTCGTTTAAATTAATTCTATTAGAGTGGAAGTAACATTCTTCATGTCCTTATTTATCGACGATCAATTTCAGATTCAAAACGATAGAGACTTTATTGTATATTTCTTTTGCTGTCGTACCTTTTAGTGCTATATACAGTATGGTATGTTTCATTCTTTTTTAGGAGTGTAAAAAAGTACCTCAATAAATTTTAAGGAATTGATAAAGTTTGTCATTTTTTAAAAATCAATTTTAGTGTGACCTTAGTGATCTAACGTTAATGCTAGCTGGTGGTATTGTTTACACGATAGGCGTTATTTTTTTAAATCAGACGGCATCATACCTTTTGCGCATACACTTTGGCATCTTCATGTTGTTGTTGGTAAGTTCGTTATGTATAGCTTTTTTCATATAACATTTGTGATCCTAATTTATATCTGCAGTTATGCACTGATTAAATAATTTGAATGAGAACTGCAATGTTTATATGGGATTTTATTTTTGTTTAGTCTAGTAAACTATCGCTGAACATTACCCAAATATTTCTGTGAATTTCATTAATATCTTGACAATATAGTTAAGGTGATGGTCATTAGAACATTTGAAGCCTAACTGTTTGGATTATTATTTATTAATTGCTTGAAAAATAGCTTTTTATAACACAAATGTTTCATTTTAGGTGCAGCATTACATTGGTATGCCGTTTATAGCACACTTCTTGGACCAAATAATTAACTTTCACCCAAGCAAACATAAAACAGTAGATCATCAAAAGCTTTTTATGAGTGTAGTATTACTTAGATAGAACGGGTGATTTTGATCACTGATCTCAACTTATCCAGTATTTAATCACTGATGGATGATAATTGTTATCTGCATAATATTTGAAATATTTGCGATTCTGTACTTTGCTTTTTCCCAGTCACTAAAATTTGTACATAAGCTAGTGTGTTTGATTTAAGAGCATTAAATGCACTTATAAATTACTCTGATATATGTTTCTCATAAACTGGTAGGTACATAATTTTATGACTTTTTATTTCCTAGTATTTTGAGTAGCTCCAGTATTTCGTATAGTGCAGCTAATATTGTGACAGAAATTCGGTGCATTTTTAATGTAGGATTTCTTCATTTTGATGTTTTCGCTTGAAATAAATCTTTATAATAGTGTCACAGGATACTTGATATTAAAATGAAAATGTTTGCCCTTTCATTGTAAAACATTTGTTTTTTTCGATATCATTAATTACGAAAGTTTTTTTCTTTAATTTAAATGATATACTCATTATATAAAATTCCATATTGAGCAAAGTTCGAGATGCTCTCCTTGAAGTTACAGATAATATTTCGTAGTTTATAAATTTTTAAGTTTTACCTCACTTGTTTTTAAAAAAGAAAGAAATTAGATTTCCTTCGGAATTTTTTGAGAAAAGAAATTAGAAAAAAGTAAATAAGTGATTAAGTCTTAAAAAGTTAGCAAATAATGAAAACTATAAAGTTCTTTAATATATCAATTCAAAGAAAAAAAAAATGATAATAAAAATTTAAGTAAAACATCGCATTATTTGTGTTGTCGTTTTTTTCTTCGTTTTACATTTTTTTTCTCCAGTGCTTGAAATATCATTCTTAAAAGACATGCAGTTTCAAGAAAAGAACGAATGAAACTATTTGCTGCTTTCATTAAATATACCAAGATTAGTTCAATTCACATTCTCATTTACCAATATGATTTATTTTTAAAGAAAAAAAAAATAGGAAGAAATTAGTAAATGAATTTGGGACTATCAAATGTGAACTGATCATGGAAAGATAAAAAGTCGTTGAAATTACAGTACTAATCATTCTTAATTGAATTTGCTTCTAACTTTTAGATTTGACTTTCTTTTTAGATTTTTCATCCTCAATGTCTACATGGAGGAATTTTTTTTTCTTTTTTTTTCTGAAAAATTGTTTTCTTTTTATGAGAAATTTCGATAATAATTTCTTAGTGTTGTAAAAAGCTTTAAAATATGACCGAAAAATGGCCTTGGAACAGAGGATGACTAGTCTGCTCTTATCGACGTTATATATCTATGCTTCCTCAAATGTTCCGAATTTATTATTTTATTAGATTTTATTTTAAATTCTTTTCATCATTCAATTTTATACACTACTTCATACTCTTATTTTTTACGCATCAATTTTAAAATTTTAACTATTTTGTCGGAAAATGAGTAATTTTTAAAAGTAAATAACTACTAAAAGTAAAAATAAATTTTTAGCAGTGATATGTGTATGTATAAATTAAATCTTTCCTGAAAAAGATAAATTCAAAGAGAAATCAAGAGCTTTAAAAAAGATTAAAAAAATCAAAAAATTTCAATGAAGAAATCCTCAGACTTTTGAACTCTAAATCGAACACCTGTAAACTTGCAAAAAACTGGAACTGAATTGACATTTGCTTCAATTTTCTCCTCTACCTCATAATTTGACTGAAAAAAAAATTTTCTTTTTCTTCCATAGTATAAATTAATGATAAAACTTTTTCTTTTTTTAAAATAAATTATCAAACATTACTGGAATTTCTAGTTTATACTTCACTTTGTCGGAAAAATTCTCGTATTTCAGTGTTATTTATTTGTTCCTTTATCTCTTTACTCTTTTTGGTTTTTATTATAACATTTTTTTTTTCCATGGAGTAAGTTAGCATAGATTGAATTCAATATTGTATTACAAACATTTATGGTACTGTTTGTATTATAATACTTTATTGATTCGACATACATTAATGAAGACAAAATAAAGGGTAACAAGTTAATTGTTTTTTAAATAATTTCAAAATTCGTATTTCTATAATTTATTAGATGTAGCATTCACGTAAGAAGACTCAAAAAATAATTTGAAATATTGAAAATGAAAATAGAAATGCTAAAGTGGAACTAAAAGAAAAAAATAATATAACTATATTTAGGCTCAAATATTAATAATTAATGAGGTACAAACTTCAATTAGTGCTTATTGAGTTGGTACTTCTGATTAATTATTTAAGCAACACATTCATTTTAGATGGCTTACTTTATTAATAATTTATTAATAACAACAAACATTCATTCAATGTTAAAAATATGCAAATTTATTTCTGAGTAAAATAACTTTGGCAATATGCAAAATTAAATTAGTACACATAATTTCTTTTCTTGTATTTTACGAAATTTAAAAACGAAAATGAAAGAAAAGGCATTTACCTTAATTAAGATAATACTAATGCAAAAATAAAGTAAAGAAAAACATTTAAGATTGAAAAGATCAAATAAAAAATGAAATATTAAATATAATAATTGATACAAATTAATTTAAAAAATTGCAAAGCGACAATAATCCTATATATATAATTAATTCTATAAATTAAATTTAATCTTAAAATTTAGCAATTCACTATTGATGACCTTGAAATTACTGTACAGTGATAGATATATCTATAAATAAATGCCATTTTACGCCAGTTTATATTGCTTATATTATTATTACATTGTGCTTCGTTCTCAGTACAATGGCAAAAATTTTTTTTTCCTCATTTTTTCATTTTTCCTAAATGTTTTTAAGGTATTCAAAAAAAGTAAAAAAGCTATTTATTTCTCACAGTTAAGGTCAAAAAAAAGAAATTTTGTCAATTGTGTTTTTAACTATATGGAAAGAAGTCGACTTTTTTTCTCTTTCCCTTTCCCTCTCTCTCTCTCTCTCTCTCTCTCTCTCTCTCTCCCTCATAATTATTCCCACAATGTTGAATAGCGGTATGAGATATAATTGCACACCTGATGGTGTGATAGCAATCAATGATTATGGTTGTCCATTTTGGACCACTACATTTTTTTTCTTTTGCCATTTCATTTTAATATCAAATTTATTCCTACTAATTATAATTAATTTTTTTTTGTCACCTCAAAAAAACAAAAATACAGTTCAAATTGAATTCTTTTTTTTTCATATTATTTCATCTTTTTCTTATTGATACTAAATTTTCTTCCTTTTTCTTTTTCGTTTTGAAATTACAAAAATGGAATGTTTGAAAATTTGGTAAAGATGGAAAAAAATTAAATGACGAAGAAAAAATTTCAAATATTTTTTTTTGAAACAAGAAAATGAGAAAACTTATCATTCATTTCTAATTAAAGACCTTTTGAGAGTTTTTTTTTTTTTTTTGATAATGCAAATGTTCACGCTTACTCATTTGAGCAATTAATTATTCTTCTGGTAGTAGTTTGGTTATAAAATATAACTATATAAAATATGAAAGGTTCCATTCCAATTTCTGTTCTCTTTTTTTTTTTTTTTGAAATAATATTGAGTTAATGTAGCTAGGAATTTTAACAATTTTTGCATTTAATATAAATGGTGTTATGATATTTTAATTAATTTCTTATTTGATGTAATAAAAACTACCAGCTTGTCTTTTCTCAAATTTTTATTTAGTGCAAATATGAAAAAAATAATAAAATAAAAAGATAGAGAAAAGTATTTTCATTTAATCATACTATAAATTTTTCAAAAAGCTTCTTTGTCATTAATTTGATAAATAATTTTTTTCTATCATTTCATTTCATGATAAATATTTAAAGAGTAAATAGTGAAATGAAGGATATAAATATATATGTATGATTATCTGAAACGTTTCACATCATTTATCTTTACGTCAAATTTCTAGTTTGGTTCCACTAAAATACACTCACTCCTCTATTAATTCCATTTGAATTTAATTAATTTACCAATAAATAATAAGAAACAAGTAAATAATAAATAAATAAGTAAAAGATAAATACTACATTTGTATGTTCTTATATTCTTTTTTGAAAATATTGGAAAAGTTTTCACCAATGATTTTTCATTTATTCCAAAAATTATTAAAAACTTCAAAGTTTTCAAAAAAATTTCAAAGTTAAAAAGAACAATAGATTGCAGAAAAAAAAGGAAAAAACTTATCTCTTAGTTTAATATTTGTTAAATAAAATTCTTTTTTTTCATCATTCACTTAATTATTTGTTTTTTTTTTTGACTTTAAAAGATAAGCAAATATAAATAATATTTAAATTTCTTTACAATTCAACAAATTTCTTTAATTTTCTTACTCCAAAAGGAATATTCTGCGAAGCGCTAATGTCATCCATAAAAATTTAATATCATTCAAATACTGGAAGCAATCACAAAGTCTTTCAGTATCTATCGAAAAAAGAAAAAAAAAAAACCTTTCGAAAAAGAAAATACTGGCATATTTAAATTGTTGAGAGAGAGAGAGAGAAAGAGAGAAGAAAGGAAAAAACCTGCAATCAAAAAAAAGTGATTACAGGCTTCTTATTTTTTCTTTCTTTTTTTTCCCCTCTCTCTCTCTCTCTCTCTCTCTTTCTCTTTCTCTCACTTTATCAGTATTAACGATTAATTATGATAGCTTCTTCATTGTTTAAAAATTTAATGTATTAATTATACATCGATGATAATAATATTAAGCTAAGAGAGACGATGATACATTGTGACAAGAAGAGATATATTGGGTAAATCGATGTAACGGGTAAAATGAATGTATCGGGTAAGTCGGGCAAGTATTAGAGGAAAATAGTAGAAAATATCAATGATAAAAGCGATGGATGATGATCTGTTCATTATTTCCAACTAACATTTTTGCCTTTCTTTTCTCTTTTTCACCGATTGTTTATTTGATTCATTGAATGTGAGCGCGCGCTTTCAATACCATTTGAAAAACGTTTCTTTTCTTTTCCTTTCCTTTCCTTTCCTTCGTTTTTGTCCTCTTTGATTAGCCCTTTGAAATGATCATTGTTTGCAGCAACGATCTGATTTTGACATGCAAAGAGTTGACAGGAAGATGGGTACTGTTTCATTTCTGATTGGTAAACTAAATATTATTTAATGTTCTTCCTCTTTCTATTCTTCTTACTGTTATTGTTATTGTTATTGTTGTTGTTGTTGTTGTTGATATTGTTATTGTTGCAAACTTTTCTACTTCAATTTTTACAAGTAATTTTCAGTTTAGATTTTCAGAAAAAACTAATTAATTATTATTGAATCGATTAGTTTATGGATCTTGATACTATGAAACATTATGAAACAGGTTAAGCTAATTTTTTTTTTCAACTAATATTATTGTTATTATTATTATTATTATTCGTCCCTCTCATTTATATATTTGTAATATTTTTGTAACTAATTTTTAAATGATAGTTTACAAATTGATTGCAAACATTTCGATTTTATTTCAAATTTAAAATTTAGCCTTAAATTAATTAAAATAGATTCTTTTTGGATTAAATTCAATTTGTAAAATTTTAAAATGTATACTTCTCATCACCAATTTTGACTGTGCAGCAATTTTATTTAAAATGAAATCCGTTATAGAAATTTGTTGTAATAATATGATAATAAAATATGTTAATATTTAAGAAATAATTTTGAAATTTCATAAAAAAAAAGTCTTCAGAAAGTTGATAGGCCACAGTTAAAACTTCAGGTGATGGTAGTCTTGGACAATCATCTTTGCAACACCAACAGTTTAGTTCAGCAACTATCGCTATACGCGCTCAAAAGAAGATTCTTTCCAAAATAATTTCAAGGAATAATGCGAAATTATTTGTGGATGATGCTACTATCCGTTTATTTGATTATCTCTATCAAATCTTGAAAACAGCATACAACAAGATAATTGCTGAAAAGGTCTTAGCTTAATTAATTTCATAATCAACTTTCCATAAATTCTAATTCATAGATTTCATCATGATTGCTTGAAGTGATGCGTTTAAAATAGAACGGAAATGGGATAAGTCATTTATTTAAAGTTATATCTTTTAAGAAGTATTATATACTTTCATTATGTTTCTTAATTAAGAATAACTGATCGAAATTATAAAACAAAAGATAAATCCAGCGAAATAATTTAACGATTAACAAAGAAAATATAAACTTAAAACATATACAATATTGAAATAATGAACATGAATGAAAGATTATGGTAGTAATAATATAGTATGAGTTATAACTGTTTATAATAATTGAATTTATCTTTAGGTGGTGAAAAATATTATCAAACTTATCGTCAAATTGGGCGTAATACTGCGAAATGAACAGTTTACCGCAGAACAACAAAATCAACTGTCAAAGGTCCAACGACAAATGCGCCAACTTTGTCTCACAGTTATTTCATTTGGTAAAGTGGCATTCTCATACGACTATACATATTTAAATGCATTACTAAAGGAGACGTACCGTCGGTTACTGCCATTGGTGGAACAGATTCTTAGCGGTAAATCCAAACAACGCTTGGATATGATTTTTGAACATCTTTGTAAGGTAAATTTTTAAATCTTTATATACTTTACATAGATAAGTAAAAATATGTTTACTTCAAATGATATAATCAATGATATCAATAAAGCATTTTTATTTGTTAACTATTAAATCAAAATCATTGGTGAATTTATTAACAATCAATTGATATTACTAAACTTTAATTTAATTTATCGTTTATAAAGAATTCGGTATTGGATTCACTCTTTCGAGCAGATGGTCAACATTGGAAGCTTCTTCCAAAAGTTATAACAGATCTTGAAGTGCTCATTGACAGGAAAGAATTGTAATCCGAAAATGGGCAACTATTTAAACTTAGTGTGCTTATGCAAAAAAGAAAAAACAGGTCATATCTTATTTTGTATTCTTCCATGTTCAATGTTAATGTTCTAAATTATGCTGAAGCATTTGGAATGTGATTTTTATTTTAAATCTTCCGAATTTCGATTTTTTCACTTATTTTATTCTTGCAATTCAAATGAAAAATTCCAAAAACCTGCAACAAAAATGCATTTCTATCCCGAATGTACCTTCATTCTAATGCCTGTATGTAATTTTTACATTATTTTTAAATGCATTTCTTAAATCATGTAAACTAGAATTGGGACAGGTTATAGGTGGCGTGGAAGATTTTAACTATGATTTCATTTGTTCATGATCAAATCGCTTTAAATAATAAACTCGACCAAAAATTGTTGTCCTCAATATTTTTGTATAGTTCTTACTGATGTTGTATCTTTACATTCGTGTGCAAATATCGCTTTTTCAGAGATTTGAATTATTTCTCACTGAATTATCGTTTTGTTTTATTAGTTCGAAATGATCCATAAATCATTTAGCAAAGTTCCCAGTCCCAAACATGCATAAAATGAAAGTACAAGCCTACATAATTAGCTACATTAAAAAACCTAGGAAAAAAAAAGCTGGTATACCCTTCGCTAATGGACTAACCATTATTCAAGTTCACCTTATCACGAAAAGTCTCATTAAGCGTACTAATCGAATATAACAAATTCTATCTTTCGCTCTTTGATTGAGAAAACCTCGCAGATATAGAGAAAAGATGGGGGAACCTCTACCTCAATTTCGGGCAAATTCGCACCACAATCTCAAACCTTCTAAGAAAATGAATGATGAAACAAAGCTCTCCTGTCCTGAAGATAACTGTTAGTGTGTTAACTCAAGATTGTTTTAAAATTATTTAAAATTTTGAAATTAAAATAACAATAAGAAACAGTAAATAAGGTCTCAGATTACAGTGAAATTGTAAACCATACCAACGAACAGTTTAAAACATAAAAACTAAAGATAACAGTAAGACAGCTTTTAATCCACAGCATCCTCTGCAAAAGTAAAAATAAAAATGCTAAAACTTCATTAGATTACTCAATAATTAAATTACTGAATCACATAAAAAAATCGATGTGACTCGAAAGCAACATAATTGTATTCAAACTTGCAGAAAGAATAAAAACATTTAAAAAGAACTGCACAGCAAATTAACCAAACTCTTTGTCATATTACCAAATTAAACAAATACTGAGTTTTGAAAACATGCACACAAATTTTTAACCAAAATAATTGGCAATTTGTGAGAGACATAGATTTGATTGCAAGTATATTCATAAATAAAGCATGCTTACGATGAAATATATTCAACGATGCAGATTCTATCTTCACGAATTTGCAGTATTCGAATTCGGAATGAATGGTGTTCACATGAAACGGCATCCTTCAAATTTGTTATAAATTCGTCTTCAGTTTCCGCAGAATTCGAAACAGTTGATGAGACAAGCGAATTGAAAAGCATGCAAGGGATTGCCATTCCTGGATAGGTACGAGCGACATCAGACTAAAATGAGTACAAATCTTAGTAATAGTTTCCCTAGATCGATAAAAAGTTTTAATATTATTATTATATAGTGTAAGTATATAAACAATAAGTTCTGGAAATCATAACTTGTAGTCAATGCATTACAACCTACAGCGATGTGACTATAAGTCAGACATACTCCAACAGTGATATTCCAAAGTTTTCCAACAAAAAGTCGTTGATTAGCATTTATTAGTTACTTACACGAATGGATTACAAAGTAAACTACTAAAAATATCTGAAATATCTACCAGATTAAAAATCGACATTTGATCGTCTCTGTTCACTGTTTCATAATTGCCATAATCAACATAATGAACTTCAATGCCAATATTATTTATGTTTGTTATGACTGCTCGAAACAATGAATCAAATGTACGACAAAATGATACACATAAGGTACCCACTTGCTGAAAAATGCGGGACACTTCATATACAGGACCAGTTGTTATATGCAGTTTAGAATATCTCTTGATAATATCTAATTTCACATCCTTCAGCATGCTACGTAAAATGAACTAATTAGCGAAACAACAATTTTACATTTGGATATCATGGTGTCGTCAAAATAAATTGGATTTCCAAAATAAAAATAGAATAGAAGCAAACATCATGACCGAAATTGCAACTATTTTTATTTCTCACGAATTCATCTACTTATTGTCCCCAACCTATGCAAGTCATTAAAAGTGGTAAGTCACCATTTTCGAGCATTATCATGAATAAAATAGCACTTATAGGAAAGTTGTTAGCAATGGATCTAACAAAACCTAAAAACCCAATTAAATCTTCTAAAATTAATACACTATGAACCAATTACCAATTCTTCTTCACTAATTAAAGAAGTTGGTTGCAGTGAATCAAGTTGTTCTTCCAAAACATCAAGCAAATCATCATGCTGAATCTGTACGAAGAACAATGGTCAGTTCTCATTGTCATGATCATCATCACTTCTTTTCACTAATACTTCATCACCCTCACTCACTTTCACATACTCAAAGAAAGCCTGGAATGAGTGTGCCAAAAGTTTCGATGTTTTATTTTATAATGAAGATCGTGAAGTAAACTGAAGGAAAAAATGACTGTCAGTTGTTTTCAAGGCGATGAGTAATCCAACAAAAAGTGCAAAAGAAACAGTAAAACCTGATAAATTGGAGCACGTTTTCTCAACCGTATAAAAGAGGTTACTGGCTCATTCATGTCCAAAGCAATCTTCTTTTCTAATAAATTAGCAGTGACACTGGTCTGCAAATACTTGTCTACAAAAATATCTAGTAGTTTTGGAGTCTAGAGTTCCCCTATTACTTCAAATATAAGTGTAAACTAACTTTGTTCTCAACAACAATAACATCTTCATCACCATTATTGCTTGTGATAAGCGAGCATCTTGCCTCATCGTAGGAAATTTCGTCTGCTAATGATTCATCGGAAGTATACAACAATTTACCTTTACGGTTGCGGAGTTTCCGTACATAAAAGGTTCTGAAATTTTCTGAAAATTATGTGTACAACATATAAATAAAACGCAAAAGTAATGCACAGAAAGCATTGTTTCTGATGAATTATAAAAAAAACACTTTACATACTTTAATTCTACTAATTTAATAATTATAGCTATCATAAAGAAACTAATCTCTCTCTCTCTCTCTCTCTCTCTCGTTTCACTTCTTCGAAATGCACAGAACAATGAAAAGAAATATAAAATGAGAGTTACTACATTATAATATACAGTTCTTCTTTAAACTATAGCTGACGATTGGTAAAATTATGGACTGGTAAAATCTAGAAACCTTATTTGTGGATGGACCATCTTCGCGATACTCATCACGTTGGTATTTCGTAACCATGTTGGCACTGTTTTTCGATGGACATTTGCCCATTTGCATATGAGAATTGGTCCTTTTATTTTTAACTTATTACCATTTAACTGTTTGTATCCAAACTTGTCATATTGATTTTGAATACGTCCAGCATACTCTGAAGTAAATTTGATGGTATTACAGCACTAGATTAACTTTTAAAGTCTCAGGTGTGTCCTTTAACACTTTCAGGTATGATAAAAAGAGATCATTACTACTCTCCTGGGGCCCACAGGCCTTAATATTACTGAGAATTATCCAGAAAAGCTAATCTACTGTCTCATTTTTGTGGTGAAATTATTTTACTTACCTCTATTTCGATTTTCATGGCCAAAAGGGTACTGCGGCGGCACGGCAACAGGATTACTGATATTAGAGAAGAAATTATATTTCTTGACTTTGCACACCGATCTGAATAAAGTCGCTTTATACTTTGCAAATTTCTTGACTGCCGCAGAACAGCTCTATAATTCTAATTTTCTTCAGTATAATCAAGTATCGTTATCATAGTAATCATAGTATCTAGTTTCGTTCAAACAAAGCAATCATATAGTATTCACTAAAAGTTAGCAAGGCATATAAATCAAAAACACATACCCAAAGGAAGTTGACTGTTTCCCATAATATGATGTGCTCTAAACTTCCTCAAGTTATTTCGATTTTTAATTGTGCTAATTCCATTTTGACGTATTCCCTTTAAAATTAAATCCTTACGTGTCATTAATACTCCAATTTCTAATACTCCACTTGTTGAACCGATAATTTCACTATAACTTATTACATTTTGATTCGTTGGGAAAAGTAAAACAGAGGGTCCCCTTATTACTAAAACGAGAAAGTGTTTCGTTCATTATAGAATAAAACATGAAGAAAAATTCCTTTAAAAGAGAAACCGTTATTGTTTCCACTCCTCCGTGCAAGTTGTAGCTAGATTCTGGAATTCCTGAACCACTCGATGGTCCAGCAAATCTGAAAGACTCTATTTTAATTATCGTTAAAATCGATAGAACAATTAATTTAATGGACTAAAAATACTGGAACTGTTGTATTGGATGGATTCAATCATTGGCGTTGAAGGATTCTGACTATTCTGACAACACTGATGCAATGAAGACATTTTGTCACAATGGCCACATTTTTTTATAGCCTAAAAAATTTCGCAGGCATCGTTAGCTTTGATCATCCTTCAGTAGAAAAGCATTGCGTGTAATCCTACTATATAAATGCAAATGAAAGGATTTAGATAGAACATCACTTGAAATTATTCATTTATATGATTGGAAACGTGTTCCATGACAGTGACCAGCATTAATTTAGTACAGGCAATCATTATCATCTTGACAATATTTTATCTTGCATAATACTACCTTGATTAATTTAAAAACTAGTAAAGACGTCAAAAATCTAAAACTAACCATATGCAAGGAAGCGAGTTTTGCGCTAGTAATATTATCAATTTTTTCGGATATTTTCAGGATATTTGAAGTAAGCGTTATTTCACTCCTTAAATGAACACTTCTTGGGAAATGTACAAGACATTCATCTGACAAATCATTATAGAAATAACTCCTGCAGTAATTGAAATAAAAATCAATGACCTATTGGATTTGTTCTTTACGCATTAATTATTCGATTGAGGTTGAAACCATTGTTGATTATTCCGTTTTATTTCAAATCTTTCATTGCTTACTCCATTTGATGATGAAGCTTTCATGCTTATGTTTGCATTTGTTGAATTTTTAATACTTTCATTTCCACATAAATACTGCATCCCAAACAACATGTTACACACATAAAAATCGTTATGCAAATATAAGAGTTGTATATTATAGAGTTCTTCTCTGAGCAACTGAAAATGGAAGCAAATCGGTACATATATATATATATATATATATATATATATATATATATATATATATATATATGTGCATGCTATCGACTCGCTTACTCCTCTAAAGATTTTAAATTGATTTCCAGTGATTACTGAATTTCTCAACAAAGTTAACCAGATTTTATTTTAAAGCATTTAAAATTGCATTCGTTTAAGTTAGAAAATGCAAAATGTCTTGCTTTGGGTGTCTTACGCTCAGCACTTCCCTGTCTCAAAACTCCGATTCACACAACACTTGAATGCAGCAGATGAAGTCTCACGTATCACCGCAGGCTAAAAGTACACTGTTTTCAAGAAATGCGGTATCCAATATCTACGTAGATCAGACAATTATGTAGAAATTATTGTGCTTTAATTTAAAATTACTATTCTTTTTTTTCGTACATAAACAACAACTGCAAATGAAATTGTATAAAAAACGAACCTGCTCTTTACAATTTTTGATGTTACAAACAATTGATAGACCAAAATCAACAAGATATGCCAAACATGTATCGGTCTCCTCATGAAAATGGGTGACAACCGCTCTACAATGAAAATTGCATTATCTAGCCACTGATTTTTGGAGCGTACTTTCTTTCTTGGTAAATTATAACCCGTGAACCATAGTCGTCTAAACTACGGAGTTGAATTTTAAAGTGATTTTTGAAAAGCATTTATTCTGCAGTAAAGAAAAAGAAAAATGCATTAATGTGAGGCAAATACTTTAAGAAAAGACATTAGATAGTGACAATCAGTTCTCTAAAAATCTGTTGAAAATGAAACCAATATATTAGCATAAATACTGCTGAAAATTTTTATAATCCTAAAAAAGTTAGACACACACACACCGTTAAATAGAAAATTGATTGTACGGACTATGCTTTCGAAATGGTCTTGCCAACCACATCATACAACACATCTCGTTATGCATATTCATTGAATTAACCGATTTGTATTTGGAATGTTTTCCGGGATCAACCAAATTCTATTTAAAGAATCTTAAGTTAATTTCAAAAGTACCATATATTAGATGCGATCATACAGTTGAAGCTTCGGCACTAGAATTTAATGATTTACAGATGTTTTTCCTAAATCAAGAAAAATTTAACACTTCCTGGAATTATCAAATTTGAGTTCTTTTTTTCTAATGAAAATTCGGCTATAAAAAGATGTCCGAGAGAATTAAAGAACTGAAATGATTTGCAATAAATCCGTAACAAAGAAAGAAATTATGGCTACTCCTTCTTCTTACAATAAAATAATGAGGATTGGAATGAAATTAGAATCTATTATTCTATTATTAACAAAACTTGGAATTTAGGTCTACTCTTTTCAATATATTCCTTTCTTAAAGAAAACATTTTTTTATAAACATTTGTTCAGTTATGACTTTATGACTAGCAATAAATTTAATTCACTAAAAACAAAAAATGCTGCCCATAAAATAATGATATATTGCTTTAAATGTAATAAATACAGTAGTACACACACTATTAGTCCTCACCTCATATAAAATAGATAAGATGTCTGCATCTCGCATCCAATAAACATTACGACGGATTTTTGCGGTCACAATTGCTTTTACCTGAGAATGGCAATTTGACGCTGTATGGTTTAAAAGTAAAAATCTCCACTTCAGTGCATGTACCATTACTTCCTCCTTTGAAAAACTGCTACAAAATTAAATCAATCTCCGAGGATAATTGACAATAGAATCACGGAAACAAAAAATTGAAAAAGTTGTTTTGGTTTATTTTACTAACTCATGAAGTGTAAAAGGCCGCGACAATTGCAACGAACTCTGTTACACTATAACTTCGAATGGAAATGCAATATAGTTTATAGAACTTCTTGCATGACAATAAGCTATTTTGATCGCTGTCTATTATATCATGAAATCTTCTTTCTTAAGGCCTAGCAGTTCCTTTTTTTTGAATGACAAAAGTGCACCTACGCAATTGGTAAAAAGGTTGCGAAAACAAGAAGGAAGTAAATATCAATCACTCAACCAACCACTAATGCAGACCTTTCAGCAGAATTTCAAATTTAATCAAGACAATATCCATCACACATTCTTTTTACAAGTAATACTTTTCACTGCCCAATACAGCAATAAACTGAATATTAATTTATCAAAATAGAAAATTTGTAGAAACTTACATCATAAAGCTTATATGATCTTTGAAAAGCACTTGTTTTCTTTTTAATACTCTGACCATTTTCCCTCATGACTAAATTTGTATTGGGAACAGCATACTGACAACCAAGATATTCATTATTACTTGCTATCGTCCTCGACTTCTGACATAAACAAACTGATTTAACGAAAATCTAAAAGACCAAAAAATTAGGCAAGGTAAATAAATAAACTCACTCGTTTGAAAATAACTTCATCATATTTGTTATGATAACTGATAAATTTGTACAACTGGAGGAACACAACTGGTGGATACATTGCAGTAAAGTAGCCTGAGAAATGTGGTGGAAGAATTTTGTCTGAAAAAAGTTCATATATATAATTTTGTTTAAAGGTATTTATATAATACTAATTGCATGAATTAATTTAAAGTTTTTAATCACTTTATTAAAATTAATCAAAATTTAAATACCAATCATATTAAGCTTTTTTGCTGGGACAAAATTTTTTTTATTATATCAATGAAGTTTTTCATTCACTTACATATTTTGCACAAACAAATGTTGTTCTCATTTGTTGATGAAAGATTTACGTAACCAGGGCTTGTTCTGCAACTGGGTAATATACCGCAAAAGCAAAGTGGCGGAATTGACTGAAGATCGGCAGGGAGCTGAAGATACCTTGTCTATCCACAAATTTCATTTCACCAACATCAACTCCATAAAACTGTAATTAGAAAGATTTTCAAGTTTTCACTGAAAAAGGAGTAGAACTATCGTTTTTTGGTCATCACTTCTGAAATCTTCAGCTATTTACAGTTCTCCCGAGAATACATCCTAGCGGTCTTTAAATCGCTGCATGGAGATCATAAATTTCTTGTCAGAAGGTGGCTCATTTTAAATTTAGCATTATATTTCCAAAATTCATTCAAAAATAAAAAATTTTTCCTTTTCACGGATGTTACAAGCAGCTAAGTGAGTGTTAATTTTAAGAAAAAGTTATCGCTTATACTGTCCTCAGCTACTTCCACATAAATTGTTCAGGAAAGATAACTACAGCTCGTAATCTTCACATGTTGATTCGGAAGTTTAAAACTTACAAGATTTATCGTTGATGGCTGACCTATAAGAATTTCACAAAATATACCATTGTTGTTGGATGCCAAATACATTGTATCTAAAAATCTCAGAACCGTTGCTGAATATTTCAAGGGATCAGCATACTTTCATTCAAATTTCCTGCTCTGATATGCTCTGCCGATGAATGTTTTATCAGTTTCTGTCGCAGTTCCTCATAATGACCATCTTTCCATGAGCATAATCGATTCGCAAAATACGCACATCGAAGCAGCTATCAAGAGGCAAAAGCAAGCTTACAGGTGGCTCTTTCGTCCTTGCCATCAGACGGACTATAATTTAAAAATCTATTTGTGTATTGGAAAATATTTCATAAAAGCTTAATTTAAGAAAGAAAAACTAAAGAAAAATGTTTATTTTCCCAGAGATTTTTTTGAATTATTGGCTATTCAACCTTCACTAGATCTTCTCAATTAAAAAAGAAATTTTTTTTTCTTAAATTTATATGTTTATTATCACGTAGCTAGGAAAATTATCTTTGCCCTTGCTAGGATAGCTATCGAAACGATAGCTCTATAACATTAAAGATCACATAATTTCAGTTATTAAGAAAAAACTTTATATATAGATAATCGCTATGGATTGTCGATGAAACTAATTTGGTATGCAATATTAATTGTAAATCTTTTGCTACTTAAGCCATCAGCAACAGATCCAAATACTAATGGATACATTGAAAGTACAGTTTGAATTGTTTCCAAAATTCATTTTTCGAATGCTATTTTTTTTTTTTGTTTTGCAAATGGTTCACATAATTTTGGATCTTTTACATCAATTGATGAAATTCCATCTTTTTTCTTTTTAAACTAAAAATCAGAATGATAAATTAAATTCTGAATTACGAAAAAAATTCTGAAATTGAAAAAGTATTAATTCATACTGCTTTAAAATAAACCTGAAACCACAATGACTTCATACATTCCTCATTTTCATCTATCCAATTCCGAATTACACGTTCCGTGGTATGCATTTCTTTCATTTTCGAGGTGGCAACTTTAATTTTATTCAATCTTTGAAATATGTCAAAAGATCAAATAAAAATAATGATGCATCTCTTCGTTGATATTCAAGAAAAAGACAAAAAATTGGACACTTAGTGTTTATGACAATTCAAAAAAGCTAACAAAACAAAAAGAAATGATAAGTGCAATAGTGAAACTAAGAAAGAAATAAACTAATAGTTTCACTCATATAACGTGATCACGTACGTAATAATTAGCGCAACAGATCGTGTCAACTGTCACCCTTCCTTCTCCTCCGTTGTAAGAGATTAATCAACTGTAATGTGTTACTTTTTTTGTTCCTAAAATTTATTATGTAACAATCCATTCCAATAAGTTATACATTCATCATCAATTTTCAGTGTTAAGGAAAGACTGTAATGTCTTCCCGACATTCGAGACTTCCAATATATCTGCTGGTGTCTCCTCGAGTTCTCTTGGAACTTCTCAACAATGAGTAATGCATATTCATTCACTTCCATATATCGATACCAACTATTCCTTTAGCTTTAGCATGTCACTGAGAGGTGACACACTCGTTGTCAACCAGTAACGAACGAGCTATTCCAAACATTGTTAACATATACCTTCCACTTATAAGTTTACCCAAGAATATCTGACATTATTTTCGGGTAGTCAGTTGAGAAAATATTCGTGAATTTATTCAACATTAAGTTACTTTCAAATAAAATTTCGAGAATTTGCTACTTCGAATGAACATTTGAAATTGATTAATGCTGCAACATTCTTTGGATAAATGAGAGTGCTACTGCTTGATGGGTTTTTTAGTTCGATTTTTGGTGAAAATTGAAAAACTTGTCAATTTGAGTGAGAATTTCAAGTTTAACTCTAATTCTTCAATACTTCCTGAGATAACGAAGAGCTGTGGTATTGTTACACTGAATGTTGTTAAAGAGAAATTAAGCATGAATATGGTGTTACTATGGGATATTTCAGTGATGGTATTAGGTGGAATAGAAAGTTTAGAACGATAAAGAGAGAAGATAATTGTTATGGTATTAACTGTCGAAATGATCAATCTTTTTCAGACTTCTGTAGATGTCCGCAGATTCTGACGATTATGTTGTTCGCAATGTTGATGCTAAATTACAACAAGTGAGATTTCTCTCATTTCATTCGTTTCTATATTTTATATCCTTCAAAAATGGTTTTTTCTCTCTTTTTTTCTTTCTTGTCTGTTAATAAATTAGTTTAATCGAACTGGTTAGCTAGATTAGTGTTATCAGTTATGTTTACCACCGGTGTTAGTTAAGTTTGGTCATTAAAATTTCTTGTTACTTATTCGTTTTATTTCTTCATTGCAGTAATATATCTAATTTTTCTGATTTAGGACAGTGAATGGTTAAAAACTTTTGAAGAAAATCTGAAAAAGAGTAGAAATTTGAATAATGAGATCACAACACTACTGGAAAGTTTTCGAAATCGACTAGTGCAGTTAGAGCAGAGCGTTGTTCCACTGTATGAAAAACCGCTCTCTTACGACAAAAGCAAGCAAGTAAGTTACTTTACTAATTATTCTAAAATTTTGGTTTGTACATTTTACTTTACCCTACTGAAGAAAAAAGAACATTCAGAATGAGAAGAAAAAGAGGGCTGCCTGCTTTGATACAATAACAAACTAGTATTCCTGACGATTAATAGACTTAATAAATCTCAATAGATTCTATTTTCTTTTTTGTTTAATTATTTACAGATATTCGAAAAGTATTAAAAACCGTCGATGCAATGCAGCAGTTTTATGGTCGCGCTGCAGAATTGGAATGTTCAATACGTGAGGGGAATGCATCTGTGGAAAGGGAGCAGTTCATTGAAAGAATGGAACAGCTAGCTGAAGCTATTTCTTTCTTTTCTTCCCATCCAACATATCAAAATCAGCTCGATAGCATGGTTTTTTTTTCCAGTATATATTTCAACACAAAAATGTTTTTAATTAGGTCTTCTTTATATTAAGGGAAAATGTTTTCCAATCTGACTTAGACACCCAAAGCTGAGAAAACCCATGATGTATTTGCATGTTAAAATCTGTAGCCCAAAACTGCGGCAGCTTGATTAGCAAAAGGAACGAAATTACTGACAATTGGCATATTAAACCAGCACTAGACTAAATGGTCGCATCGTTTATCACTTATTAAAGACACATCGGTTCTTTCCAGTTACCTTATTTTAAAACATGGAGTGGAATTAAGCTCACTTTAAAGCGCATTAACTTATTCCTGGTAAAAAATTTGTTTTAGTTCATTTAAATATTGCATCTTTCTTCTGGTCTCTTACATATTTCATTACATTCTTTTTAGAGGCTGACTTTTGAATCTGGTTGTTGTGCACTTGAAAAAGAATTTCGGAATATGTTACTTGCAAATTCAGTAATGTTGGATGCACCAATTATCAGCGAATCATTAGATAATGAATATGGCTAGTAATAAATTTCCTAAATTCAATATAAATCCTCACTGAATAATCTTCTGCGAAGATTATTCAGTGAGGGTCCATTATTACTAATAATTCGTAAATATTTTGAAGGACTTTTCTAATCAAATATTTTTTATAAGTAATTTCATTTTTAATGGTTTTATGGAACTCAGATTCATCATTAGAGATTGATAATTTAAGTTTCCAGCTAGCTATCTTAATTTATCCACTGGTTATATTACTAATAATGAGAACTATATTCATCCATAAAATTTGAAAAATATGAAAAAAATACTTGAACTGAGATTTGAATTGAATTAATTTAAGAAGTAGTAAGTACTCGATTGCGTGGGGTGGTCACATTACGCAATATTGAACAATGTGCTCAAATAGCTCGTTGGTTATTAACATATAATCCAGAAGGCTCTGTGATCAAAACATATGCTAGTATTCGATGTGATAATATGCTTCGAACTCTAACTGCTGCTAGTCAACAGGGATCCTCTTCAAATAGTAAAACCAATATTTCGTTATCTTCGAAATCAGCATCGTTGAGACAGTAAGTTTGCATTTGTCGATCGTATATTTATAACTTTAATAATCTTTTGAGAATTCTGAATTCATTAAGAAGTTATCGGTTTGCTTCCATCATTTGAAGTACAGTTCCTCATTCTTTAAAATTCATAGAAGATAAATGATGAAAATTTTCATGTAACACTTCAGAGCATTATTTCAGAGCTTTACGAAAGGCAACTGGTCGTTCTTCTGAAAGATATGGTTCTCATTTCTTTTTATTAATGCTTTAAGAAACCACAGAAATTTGGTTGATTTTTTTTCAAAATTTAAAACTTGGTTTAACAGTGACATTTCCTTCTTTTAAATTATTAAGTGGAATAGAGTAGTACTTACTAGATTTAGCATGGGAATGGCGTGCATCAGACGATGCTGTCGAAAATATTTTGCTTTTATTTGGAACGTTGCTTGCGCTTATCGAGGTTATTCTCTTTTAATATATTTACTTAAATGTGTATTTAGATTTCATGGCAAACATAGTTGGAGAAGTTTCTGACCACAGGTTGCACATTTTTCATTCAGTATTACTGCAGATTGAAGCAGATTTGGTAAATAAAGTGATAGCAGACGTGAGTGCCGAGGCCAAAGTACAGCAGTTATTATTTGGTCGACCTTTATTGTATGTTGTGGAGCGTGCAAGCTCTCTGATGGATGGGATCAATTGCTCTCTAATTCCATTTTTACCTCTTCTCAGGCATATTAATGCGCATTACTTGCAGTTATTATCTCTTGGAAATGTATGTTTTTTTGCCGTTATTTAGCTTTCTGAACTAATTACTTTTTGTCGATTTTGATATCCTTTTATATACTTTATATAAGATTCGATAGTTTACAATCAAATTTTATGATAGGATTTGATGTCATCTATTTTTCATTATGCTGCATGGCTGAGGCCAAGAGTGTGTTTGAATCACATCATGTGGTATTCTATTGCTTTGATCTATGCTATCGAATCTTTAGAAATAGCTCGTCCTTAAAGTTACCCAAATATAGGAGCTTGGGGTAACAAATCAGTTTTTTCATAAAATCCCAACTGTGAATCCTTTTCGGGAGCGTAACAGAATTGCCAATTCTGTTCTTAACAAAATAATTTCAAGAAATAATGCGAAATTATTTGTGGATGAAGCTGCTATTTGTTTATTTGGTTATCTCTATCAAATTTTAAAACAGCATAAAAAAGTAATAGAACTGGCAGAGTTCTAATAATGCAAAATGAAATAGTTTATGATGTTGCAGAACGCTGTTGAAGATGTCCCATATGAAAGTTTTGTGAAAAAGATTAACGATAAGACAAAGGAATCTCTTGATGGCTTTTTTGATCATTTAACAAATGACTCCAATAAATTTGTGCCCACAGATGGCAATGTACATCAAATTACATCGAATGTAAGTGGTTTCTATGGATCCAAATCAAATTCCTCAGATTTGACAAAAATATTTCTTTTATTAGTAATATCTGTTTTTCAGACACTAAATTTTCTGAATAGTTTGATGGATTATCGGCAAACAGTAACAAATTTGTTAATTGCAACAGGAGCAAAAGGGAACCCAGCGACTCATTTTCCGCGTCTTTTCGGTGAGTTCTTTCTTTTTTTTATAATATTGTGGGGGAGACACCCCTATATCTCACTGACAAAGAATAACAAATACATTAGAATGAAGGAGTTATTTATTAATTTAGAAATGGTAGTAATTTAAGGTAGAGATTTTAGATAATAAGGAGATGTCAGCCATTGATATAAGTCAAAAAAAATATCAGTTGTAGAATTAAAAGGTTTAGCGGTTCAGCAAACAATATTGCTCGCAGTAGCTTGAATTACTACTTAAGTTTGTTAAGAAACAAATTAGAAAATCCTTTGCATAATTTATACCGCCATCTTATTTTTTGAGCCAAAATATTTCTAGCACGAGCACTGTCTGCATTGGGTTTGAATCTGAAAAACAAGGCAGGAGCATACAGTGACGAAACATTGGCTGCTGTTTTTCTCTTAAACAATAGCAATTATATCCACAATGCGCTTCAAACTAATGGAATGTTTGCTGTAGTTGGTGAGCATAACTCTCAAGTGCGCTCTTTTTACCGCTCCGAAATCAATGCATACAGCAAAAAATACCTCCAAAGGTATTTTCTAAGAAAAATAAACCTTCAGATTAATTTTCTTAATTTCTCTCATAACTATACAAACATAACTATTTGTTTGTATAGTTATTATTTATGATTATGGCAGTTAAAATCAGTTCTGCAGTGATTAATACCATAAGCAATGTTGAAAACTGCAAATAGCTTCGGTTAACAAAGTCAGGTAGGTTCATATAATAGTACTAGGATTTTTAATCGATTTTATTAAATTTTAATATTTCAGTTGGAACCGTGTTGTTTCAATCATAACTGTAGATTTGTCTACTTTCGACGACAGAACTACGTTAAAAAATGCATTGATGGTTTGTTTCATTTATATATCCACTGTAACATATGATTGACTTCGAAAACATAAACACTATTTGAATTAAGGATCTGGTCATTTTTGAAAATTAATTTTAATTTTTTATATTTTATTTGCAGAGAAGTTTTTTTAGTTTATTTTAATTTCGTGTGTTATTTTAGAACCATGTCGTCTATTTATTTCTAGTCGCTTTTAAATTACTTAACTTTTTATCTTAACAACATTTATGTCTTTAGGTCCTTGAAATCGGTTGTTTTTTCTTAAAACTGGCGTAGTTAACTTGTATAATTGCTAACTGACTAGTTTTTAAAAAAATCGTTTGTCGTATTATAAGCTTTTCAAGAAAAAGCAATAATATCAAACTGTTATAGACATTCAATGCTGAACTGGGAAGACTGATTAATGCACAGCAAGATTACTGTTTTTCTGATGCCAGATTAGTGCATGCTATCAAGTCAGAAATAAAATCATTAATTTGTGAGCCGTATGCAGAAGTCTATGCGCGGTAATTCCTCTGCAATTTTATACGTTTAAGCTTTAAGCAAAGAGCTGTTTCTAGCCTTGTAAAAATTCTTGATTCTTATTTATTCTGTAGCAGTATAACGCATTACATAAAACCATTTAGTGCACTTCATCAGTTTGGACTAAAGATCGAGTAATGCTAAAATAGAGCGATATGTTTTATAAACTTCAGACGATGATCAAGACGCAAATTCTCCTATATAGTCACTCAAAGCAAACCTTGTCTTGCTTGTTTCCTGAAGCTTTGCCTTTACTGAGTGGGGTTTACATTTACTGTAAAATCTCAAGTTGTAAAATAGCTAACGGACATTATATTACATAGGTATGACTCACTGAAATGGTTACTAAGCAGATAATGTGTTATTTCAGAATGATGCGTTCCACATTATCGAAAGGTACCGAAAAGCACTTGAAGTATACACCTGAGTCGCTTGACATGGTTATTGACAGACTTTTTGACGTCACAGCATGATACGCTAATACTGCTTTACAATCTTTTAAATTCCATTATGTAGAGTTTTATTCGCGAGGTTGAGAGGGTCCTTAGAAATCGAACACATCCGACCATATGATGGCTATCGAAATATCCGATCTAATCACTAGAACTCGTTATTAGTACTCAGAAGTAATCCAAGGAATGTGAGGCACACTGTAACGAGAAATTGGACAATCCTACCAAGTAAATAAAATTTCTAAAACTTCTTCAAGTTTTTGCATTTTTTTGGCTCGAAATGGGTAATTCTATTTCTTGGAATCCAATTGT